GTGGCACTCGTGCTGTTCGGACGTGTTTATTTTTAAACTTCTTTCTCCGTGTCCGCTATAGGGCATCGCGATAAAAAGTGTCTCTTGTAACTTGGTAACGGTCGTTTTCGAATATTCACGAATCTTAATACGATTTAATATTTCAATTTCAATTTTAATTTCATTTCAAATACAAATGTGACTTTTTATTTAAATAGAGTGAGTGGGTCGAAAGAAAGTTTCTACGAGAAACTTATCAGGGAAGGCCTCACCGGAAAAGGGTTATTTGAGTGACTCGGCACTGTCCCAGGGAACGAGAAGGATCAGCCCGGCGCCGTCGTTTTCCCGTTGCGGATCGGAAGACAGAGCGGTGAGTGTGAGATCAAACACAAGCATAATTTCATTTATCGCGGGTTCGGAGCCGCAACTTAACCTAGCCCCGGCCTCGCCGGTGCGTACGCCGGCGTCAGTGGAATCGGAGATGATTCGTAGTCGAAGCAACTCGGGCGGTTCAGACGTGCGTACAAAAGTGCCTCGATTAATCAACGTATCGGCCGAAAGGCAAGCCGGTTTCAGTGACGCGAGCAACTATTGCATTCCTGAGACAGATGTTTCTAGCCGATCCGAGCGTATCGACCTTCATTTAAGGAGGTTCGATACCGAAATGAAAATGGTTAGAATGTTTTGAAAACAATTTTAATCTCATAATGAATGCGTGAAAGACCTCTTAGCATAATTTCAGAACGATTGACAATATAGTTTTTCTGAAAAATGATATAAAAATTACGTTTCTTATACATAGGCTCTAATGGAAGACATGCAGAAACTTTCAATCATATTTGAATATTGCTGTTAAAAAAGGTTAGAGTCCGGAATATGAAGTTGTAATTAAGAAATTAAATATTACTAAACGTTTTAAAACAAGAAAAATGTACACTTACAATGTAATTATTGAGATAATGAAATAAATAGGCATCATTTTGACGATTTTTAACAGACATCTGATTCTGTGATATGAAATATGGCAACGCTGTACGTTGTATTCAACACTCCGACTAGCGGGCCGTTTGAATAACTTGATTCAATAATATGTAGGAAATAAATTTGTTATAATGTAATATAATG